TGCTCTCCTGCACCAACAGAACGCAAAAAGAGAGTAATAAGCAAGAAAAAAGCAGTATAAGTGGCCGGCGCACCGATTTCCGGTGCGAAGATGTATTTTTGCACACATTCGCAAAAGTTTTTGTCGTTAATGACGCCGGCTTTTCCGGGAGATGCTTCTAACTAAACGAATTAAGACTAGCCACCGGACTGTCAGGAAACATCCCTTAAGACTGCAGCTTTCTAGCTTCTCTGGTCCCAAGTTAGCAAATTATCCATCAGAAACTTTCACGGGCACGCACGCGAAAATTGCGCACATCTGGGGTCTGAATTTGAAGTCATCAGATTCTAGGTGAAGAGTAAACATCTCCCCAAAATTCCAGCTTTTTAGCTTCTCTAACTTCAGTATTAGTAGTTTACCCCACAAAAATTTCCAGAGGCCCGCACATGCGTACTACGTATTTGTAAGCGTTTGTTTTGGAGACAGGGGACAATATGGGTTTTTGCACTGCATAGATGCAGAAGACGCATAAAAACTGAAAGGAAATAAAAACAGCCAACTTCGAGGAATTTATTTTAAACAGTTCAGGACAGTAACGACAAAGCAAGCAGGCTGATGCCTAAATGCATTTGCGCTGAGATCAGCTTGCAGCCTGCTGAAATGAAGAAGCAGAAACAAACTAACTTTGTATTTTTCATCAATATCACATCGACTTTCGTTTAAGCATGCATCGAACCCGGCACGCATCGCCTGAAGCTGCTCTTGAAGGCGTGACTTGCATGCACGCTCCATCTCACGAGCTGTTGTCATCATCTCCACTTGACATTTTCGATGCATCTCCTCCAGCTGCTGCAAACACAATAACTTTCTGGATCATTGCTATAACAAAGACGGCAGAGAAGACTCAAAGTATCCGTCCACCTTCACGATTAAAGAAAAACAGCTTGGTGAAAACAGTGGCAAAAAAAGCCCTGCAAGGTAGGGATAAAACTCCTCAGTTACTCATAATCAGTGGGTATCTCCTGCCCGCAAACAATGTTCATGAAGGAGGAAATGAGCACTCGGATATCGTTAACAGAATGAATGGCGCATTTAGGCTTTAAATGGTGAGCATGGGAATCGCTACGCTCTGCAATACATCAGTGAAGTCAAATATCATAAAAACAGCCTAGGCACCCATGCTGACAAAAAGCTTTACAGACACTTTTAGAAACAGCCACTTTTCACATCACACTGTTTCCTTGCTTAAAAATTCTACTGCAAAAGCGCTTAGCTTAATTTCTGGGCCACAACGAATGGGACGAAAACAGCCAAAGCATAAACCTCAAGTCTGCTTCCTTATAAAATCCTATCCTTAGCATCGCCAAGACGGGATAACAAGCTCAGTCGAAAAAAAGTGACAAAGTACCTCCGTAGCGTGCTTAGAGTTCGAGGTTCACACACCGATGCGTCGCAACACTGATTAGTTTGGTGTAAATGTTATATTACAGCGAAATGACTGAATCGGGCACGTAAGAAAAACCCAAAGATTTTAAATCCAGTTTTCATGCAAGACTAGGTCTCATTTACGGGTATCTGAAGTTTTGGTGAGAAAACTGCTAAGTCGAAAAGAAAAATCAGAAAGCTGAATCTGAAGCAGAATGCTAAGTACCCATGTGCGACACAGAAAATTTCAGATTCAGCATCCGCATATGCCTACACACCACGTTTGAGCGCCGACAGAAAATTTCTCAACTTCGGAACCAGACAAGGCAGAAAGAAGAAATTTCAAGAGGATGTTCCCTATACATGTGCGACCCTAAAATTTCATATTCAGCTCCCACGTATATCTAGATCTTACAAACTGTAAAATATGGGTTTTGGTCGAACAAAACATTTTGCCGACTTCTGCACACACTACGCAGCAATGTAGCACAAATTTTTGACAGCAAACTCGGTCAAACACGAATTTTGTAAAAAATTTATGGTCACACCAGCTATCCTTGTGCAAGCCGCTAATTATTTCTTTTAAGACTTACGCCTTCATGCATCTTCTTCAGGAAATCGCAGTCCTCTTTAAGCGACTGGTTCTGGTTACGGAGAGTTGTGTTTGCGACTAATTTATCTCCAAGTTGCTTGCGTAAGATCTCCAATTGCCGTTCCAGTTCTTCGCTCTCGGCAAGCAAATTCTGAATAATTTCATCAGTCATATCACCAGAAACACAAGTACAAAAGAAAAGTTTATGAAAAGGCGCACTTTGTACACGTCTTCCAGATATTTCTTCGTGCTATTCGCAAAATTAAGACTGGCCTGGAGATCTTGGATTAAATTACAGCTGCTTAAACCGAGTTTCTCCGACTGCCTTAACTCCTTCTCAAGCTTGCCAGTCTAAACACAGTTTGACACTTTCCAATAATCCGAGCTCAACTCAAATAAATCAGGTTACTTTTAAACACACAAATCGCTTGCTTACTAGTAAACGAATTTGAATGGTGCTTGCAACAACTCACTGAGGCACGCTAATTGTGGTAGTTTGCTTTTCAAACATTCTCCTCACAAACTAAAAAATTTGCCATTTCCAAAAGGCCGCTTAATTTGAGGGAGAGGAGGGGGGAATGGACAAAGCCCTTACTTTAACATTTAAATTCCGTTACTGGCGAAACAACAAATTACATGAAGCTAGAGCCCCTTGTCCCTTCGCCCCTCCCCCTCCCCCCCGACACCTTCAAATTTTGAGCTATTATGAAATCTACCGC